GTTATTCCTCTGTCCTAGTTCTTTTGGACCTCTCAGCGGCTTTTGATACTGTGGACCACAGCATCATGCTGCAGCGGCTGGGTGGGTTGGGAGTGGGAGGCACCGTGATGCGGTGGTTCTCCTCCTTCCTCACTGACCGTATGCAGTCGGTATTGGCAGGGGGACAGAGGTCGACCCCAAGGCCCCTAACTTGTGGTGTCCCACAGGGGTCGGTCCTCTCTCCGCTCCTGTTCAATATTTATGTGAAGCCGCTGGGGGAGATCATTCGTGGCTTTGGGGTGGATTTCCATCAGTACGCTGATGATACTCAGCTGTACATATCCACCCCGGGCCNTGCGGGACTGGCCTAGGGGATTTTAGAGGGGGTTTTAATTATATTTTAATTGGATTAGATTTAAATATTTCCCTTTTAATTAATTTTAAACTTGTATTGTAATTCTTGTATTTTTATCCGATTGTTAGCCGCCCTGAGTCCGTAAGGAGAAGGGCGGGATATAAATGTAATAAAATAAATAAATAAATAAATAAATAAAAATGATACCAGTTTGGATCACCAGTCTTCACCATGGAATGTTGCTTACCATCAACACTTTCTGAATCTCTTTCTGTTCCAATGATTTTAACCAGGTTTGTTTGTTTGTTTATGTTATTAAAAATATACTGCTTTAGACTCAGCTGGTTGAAATTGCAGTTGTTTCAGCTGGTATTGCAGGATTAAACTGCTTTATATCATATCTTAGGTGATAAATCTCAAAACACTGAAAACACTGAATCCTTTCTACGTAAGGAAGGCCAAAGGCCTTCTCCTTTTGTTCCACTATGGCTACTGCCAGGACCATCCAGGAGCTGTACAGGATCTTTGCTGCACACGGGTTACCTGACGTGATTGTCTCTGACAATGGGGCTCAATTTACTGCTTCAGAATTTCAGTCCTTTTTAAGGGCAAATATGATCAGACATGCCACATCAGCCCCTTTTCACCTGGCTTCAAATGGCCAAGCGGAGCACATGGTCCGAACAACAAAGGAATCCTTAAAGCAGATAGTCACAGGTAACCAGCAACACAGACTGGCAGATATCCTACTCTGCCAGTGCACAACCCCATGCATTCCATGGGCAGAAGCCCAGCAGAATTAAGATGGGGCTGCGTTTGATCACAAAGCTGGATCGCTTACATCTAGATAGAGTTGCCTCACAAGCAACACAGCCAAAGGCACCATGGTACTTGCAAGTTGGCGACCTGGTCTAGGCGAGGAACTACAAGGCAAGGGGCATTGTGGGTGGTAGCAGTGGTTTGTAGGGCGACTGGGCCACTTTCGTATGAAGTGGTCCTGGAAGACGGTTGAGTGCTACGCAGGCACATCGACCAACTGCAGCGGAGGTTGGCAAGCCAGCCAGTAACTCATGACTCTAGTGACAGTGAAACTCAGGAGCAGCACGATTGCAGTAGTGCATCAGATTCTGACAGTGAGGGCGGAGCTCTCAGACTAAGAGACGAGACTCAAGCATCTGGTGAGTCAAATACCACAACCAATGGACAATACCCAGGACCGGTGGATTCTGTTCCACCTGTGGACACTGGCTCGGGCCTACCAGGACAGCCCAGCCATAGAGACTCGAGTGTACCAGTGATGGATGGGTCCTATAGCCCCGGTCTTCCAAGCCTGGCAGGTGAGCTGACAGACCGGAGGCCTTCAGCAGTTCCGAGGTGTTCGGAACAGGAAAAAAGGCCACCAACTTATTTGAGGGGATATGTTTAACAAATGTCCTTATGAACTATCTAGGGGAAAGAGGTGTAATGTATTAAGGTGAATTACTTGTAAATATTGAAAAAAATGGTCATAAGACTCTGTCAGTTAAAAGCCAGACTTTCTGTCTTGATGCTAATTACTTGTGGGAACAATACTTGAATCATATTGGCCGCCGCCTAATGGCTGAGGGTATATAAAGGGGTGGAGCAGCAGTTATCCAAGCCAGTGTTTAATCCTTTAATAAAGAATTGCTTGTTTCACCTGCTGCCTCGTCGATGCCTCATCGAACACCAAACATAACAGAATCCATCTTGAGATCATCAAGAGTTTAGGAGACAAAATCTAGCCAACCTATTAAAGGAGACTTCAAATGCCATGAAAGGCTGTCTTCCATATTGCTTTTACATATAAATGTGAGACTTTAGGGCATGTATAACATAATTGGCACTTGAATTACAATTCTTCTATAATGCTTTGTCAATGTGACTAACCTTGCCTCTACATATGGATACTGCTGCCTTTTTTCCCATCTGTTTAGTAATGCGTATGTCTCCTATACCTCCTTATAGATGCTCTGCCTTCCTAAATGGGATGTTCAGATTTTTCTACATTTTCCAAATATTTTTGTCTTCATTCCAGTCAAAGCTGCAAAACTGCCAGAACAAGGGTTGGTCATCCTACAGTCTGCCTCTAGGAATCTTATCATTATTGTGCTTTACTGGATATTTTTTTTAAAGTTTTAGGCTTAAATTTGTAATCATTGCAAATATTCTTCACTTGAGTGAAAGATGCTGAAATATGAAAACAATTGAAATCTATTCCTTTATGTTTTGCCACATAGGCTGTGGATGGGTCCTTCTGGGTAGTGGTACAGCTGCAGGAATTTCCTGCAGGTAATTTACTATACGTAGCTGCAGGGAAAAATTTATTACAGGAAACAGATTATTTCACAATACAATTGAAGACATGCACACTTATTCTCTAAAACATATATCCATATGACTCTGTTTCTAAATCTTATTGGCTATATTTCTTCTGGGTGTTTCCTTATTGATTTCTATGGATTTGTTTTATTACTTATTCTAAGTATTTTATAGGTCTCTATGGGCTTACATTATATCTCAATCTATGAGCCTTGCTTAGGTTTGTATTTGCAGTTTTCTCAGGCATCCAAATGCACCCTACAAAGGGGTGTGGCTTGGTATACAATAATGAACTATCATTTTGTTCATTTGCACTCCCACTACAAATATGGTTTCTATGGTTTTATTGTGCACTTTATTCTATTGGCATTCCATTAGGTTTCTATGGGTTTGGTGATACTTCTCTTTTGCCTTTCCCCTTTTTAATTTGCAGAAAGGCTTACATTTTCCACCCCTGCACTAATGTTGTGTTCTTACCTAGTTCAGTTCAAACTCTTTCCCCAGCCCTGGCATGCAGAATAGATAGTGGGATTATTTAAAAGTCAGAGGCGAAGTAGTATCCCAAGTGATGCAACTCGCTTCAGGGAGATCTTCTCATTTGGTACAAGTTTCACCTCTCACAGTTTGCATTGCTGATATGATTGCAGTCCCAATTCTCTTAACAACATTCTAAGACATTATTATGTAATTTGTTGTTATTAAGCTATAGTATTGTTAATAATCAGTTATGTTATTAAACACTCAGAAATGCATTTTACTTTGGTGTTATTTTACAAGACTCTTGAGGGAAACAAAACAAATATTAATATACATTCAGAGTAGGAACAGTGAAGTAAGTGCAGATAGTTATTTCAGTACATGAAAATTATGGGGAAAGTGTTTATTTAATATTTAATTTATTTAATACTCTTGAAAGCATATAATAGAAAACTCAATCTATGGAAATAAATAGTAAGTCATTTACAAATTGAAAACTTAGAGAAAAGGCATTTTCCTCTATTCTGGAATAAATTGGTGTTTATTGAAATATATCTGATTTGTTATAACTCAGGCTTGGCTTTATAACTTTTCCACTGTGAAGAGAATTGAATCAAATGATTGCATAAGGTAGTGTTCTGATATAATGGAATAGGAAGCTAGATTCTTTTGGAAGAGACTGGTTTTTTAAATACTATTTTTACAAAATATGACCTTAGTGTATTTAAAAGTAAATATCAATCAGAATCTAATTTCGAGAAATTTCAGTGTAGATATTAATGGTAATTTTTCAGTTACAATTTGCAAAAATTGAGGTCAAACCTCTATGCATGTAAATGAATTTTGAAATAAAATTGATTGAATAGTTGAAGAGATCACTAATAAGTAAATTAGCATGAACAAAGTAATTTTGCAATCTCTCTGGAATAAATGAAGGAAATAGATGGTAACATTTCTAATTTTGTTGTTCTTGCTGTTTCATTTATGCATTTAAGTATTGTTGAATATATGGATCCATATTGTAAAAATGCTGTAAAAATGTCAGAGATCATAGGCTGTGTAGCATTTTCTGCCTAAATACTCCTGGAAGTGGGATAATCATGTATAAAATCACCAAGAGAATATCAAAACACCATTTACATTTTAAGTGAATTCTATCTTATTTCTTCTAAATCATACACCATTAAATACATATGTAGGAATCTCATATTTATGTATTATTTTAGGGGATTTTTATGTTATGTTTTCAGCCTAAGCGCTGCTAGGGCAGCTGAGGAAAAAAAAACATTTCTAGTTGTATGTCACATAAACAAATACACACAGCCACACACACACATTTGCAAATTTATAATTTTTACTCTCAGGATTTCCGAGTAAAGGATACAGCAATTTATTTTTGTATTGTTTCGCTAGATTTACATTGTCTTTCGTCTAGAAACATAGGGCACCATACAAAGCACATCCTCCAATTTTCCAACACTACCACAATTCTTTACAAGTGACAAGAGATTTTGACTGTTCCAAATATTTCATGGCTGAAAATGGACTTGAGCAGGGTTTTCTGAATCCTAGGCAATTATGTTGATCAGGATATGAATTAATAGAACTGGAAAGAAGAAAGAAGGAAAAATGTGAGGTTTATGGGTTTTCTATGTTTTTTTTCTTTAGTCTTTCGCACAGTTTTTTCCTCACCATAGTCTGATTCTATGTTTATTTATCCATGCTTTACTTTTCATTTTGTTTTTTGTTCTCAACATATTTCAGATTCTCACTTCCCAAAATTTTATCTAACTGCTTCTTCCTCTGCTTCCTTGCAGTTATGGCATGCAGCTTTTGTGATAATTGAAAGATGGATAACCAAACTACAATGCCTTACTTTTTGCTCCTTGAATTCTCAACTGTTCGGCAACTGCAATTGCTACATTCCTTCTTCTTCTTTGTGTTATACCTGGCAATTACAACAGCAAATCTTCTCATCATTGCTGCTATAGCTTTTGATCAGCAACTGCACAGACCCATGTACTTCTTTCTGATGAATTTAGCTCTGCAAGATGTAGGGTCTGTTTCTGTTATTGTCCCCAAATCCATGATAAATTCCCTCATGGACACCAGACACATCTCTTACTTTGGTTGCATCATTCAGGTTTTTCTCTTTGTGTCCTTTCTGGGTTCTAGTTTATCTCTTCTGACAGTCATGGCATATGATCGGTATGTTGCCATTTGCCATCCACTGCACTATGAGATGATGATGAATTGGAAAGCCTGCACTGAAATGATGATTCTGGTTTGGTTTGCAGGTCTTCTCTATGGAACGTTGCATACCACTGGCACTTTTTCCATTCCTTTCTGTTCTAATGTTGTCAACCAATTCTTCTGTGAAATTCCGCACTTGCTAAAATTATCCTGCACTGGCTTCAATCTACTTGAAATTGGAGTTCTTGTGACTAGTGCTGCAGCAGCACTAGGCTGTTGTACTTTTATCATTGTATCTTATGCCATGATTTTCAAGGCAGTGCTAAGAATCCCTTCTGAACAAGGAAGGCAAAAAGCCTTATCTACATGTATTCCCCATCTTACAGTGGTGTTTATATTTTTTTTAACTGGATGCTTTGCCAATCTGAGACCTACGTCTGAAAACCCATCTTACTTAAATTTTGGATTGACTCTTATGTATTCCATTCTTCCACCTCTGTTCAATCCAATCATGTATAGCATGAGAAATAAGAATATCAGGTTTATTCTTTCTAAAGTTTGGAGATTATGAAAAAACATTTTAATGATTTTTTTAATATTCTATTCACCACATTGTACATTCTCCTGTCTTTTTTTTTTTCACTTCTCTTTAGAACGGAATAAGTTAGAAAGGGAGACATAGCTGAAATAGGGATAAATCCAACCTCACAAACCAGAAGAATAGTAGAATTTTTCATCCCTCATTAGTGCTAATACATTTCACAGATGCTAAATGTGGATGTTGGACAGCTGTGGCTTGCCAGAAACTGACAGTACATGATCTTTAGTGAAGTGATGATCAGGGTATAAAATAGTTTCCCCTGGTTTCCCCTTTAATGGTGGCCCATGATATGACATGTTAAATCTTTATTCTTTCCCACAATATACAGGTCTCTATAATCCTTTTTCCTTAAATGGTCATTTGCTCACAGATTTTGATACTTTACACCGTTAAGACAGTCTTAACTGGAAAAGTCCTGCATTTTTGTTGGTTAGGTTTTTCAAAAGTGATTTGCCATTTTCTCTTTCCTAGGAGGAGAGAGAGAGAGAGAGAGAGAGAGAGAGAGAGAGAGAGAGAGAGAGAGAGAGAGAGAGAGAGAGAGAGAGAGAGAGAGAGAGAGAGAGAGAGAGAGATTGTCCCATAGTCACCCAACTGACTTTATTAATAAGGTGGACTCGAATTTCCAATTTCCTGATTTCTAGCCTGATGCCTTAACCATTGTTACAAATTGTTTTACAAACTTGCTTTAGATCCTGGGTATTATTTCTATCCTTTAGAATTCTTTGGCCAAACCAGATACTGGTACTATCTCACAAAAGCTTTTAATAACTAAAGAAATGAAAAATCCAAGAATGTAAATATGATGATGCATCATTGTAACAAAATGTCATATCAGGCTTCAGGAATTTCACAACTTGAGATGGGTCAGGTGTGCATCATCAGTGGAAGTCTTGTGATGGGGAGGTTACATCAGGTGAGAGACATTGGGAGGTGAAGTGCTGGTAGAGGGGGCTTGCATAGCTTGGTTGTGGGTCAGTGCTATCTCTGGTTAGCTGTGTGGTTGATTGGATTCTGTGGGGTGTGGAGGCTGATTGTAGGTCAATGTATCTGTTGATGGAATTGCTTGTGGAGTGCCAGGCTTTGATGAACTCATGAGTGTGGCAGGTGGTAGTGTGGCCAATGATATTTTGTTGCTCCAATTGAACTGGTGCTGTTTTGTCTCACTGTGGGTAGAAATTAAGGATTCGGGATCATGGTGTTTGACAGTCAGCTGGTGTTTGTGGCTCCTGATTTTTAACTGATGTGATGTTTGTCCCATGTAGAATTGGTTGCAATTTTTACAGTTGATTTTATAGATTATATTGTTTCTTTCATCCTTCTGTATCTTGTCTTTGGTTCTTGATAATTCCTGGTGGAGTGTGACTGTGGGTTTGTGGTCTATTGCTATTCCTAGGGGTTGGATAATTCTATTTGTCATTTCTGAAACCCCTTTTGTGTATGCTCTTTTGTCCTAAATAGAGTTTCTCTACACTCTTTTGTTCTAAGTAGATTTCCAGTGAGAGTTAAACAATTTAACGGTAAAGCACATGGTGATTATACTCTTTGTTTGCTCTGTGGTTCTATATATATATAAAAAGAATTTCTAACACTTTTCTTCCTATTCCCTTTCTACTTTACTGAAAAGTTTGACTTTTCCACCTTATGTTAATGATCTCGGCTTAACTAACCCAGTTAGTTATACCCAGTTAGTTAACCAATCAGAAGAAATAGATGAACTTTTTGCCAACCAGATAACAAATGTATATAGGAAGCATACCACGGTAGTAATGGGAGACTTTAGCTACCCAGATATCAACTGGGAGACAAACTCTGCAGCAATCAAGTAGATTCCTAACCAACCAAAGTGACAACTTTATTATCCAAAAGGTAGAGGACGGAACTAGAAGAAAAACTATACTGGACCTAATTCTTACTAATAAAGAAGAAGTGATAGAGGAAGTTGAAGTTGCCAGAATCTTGGATGAAACTGAGCCTGTCATACTGGAATTAAGTATAATGCAAACAAAAGCAATGGAACATAATCCAACCAGTGTCTTAAACTTTAAAAGAGCTGATTTTAACAAACTGAGAGACAGCCTAGGAAAGATTCCATGGATGAACATCCTAAAGGGGAAAACAACTTGGGAAGCATGGGAAACTCTGCAAAAATAAAATCATAATGTCATAATATCACTGAAAAAGAAAAATAAGAAATTCAAGAAGAAACCAGAATGGTTGTACAAAGATCTCTCTGATAAATTGAAAGACAAAAATGACAAGTACAAAAAATAACCAAGGCAGAGTATCAGCCGATAGTCAGAACCTACAAAGATGAAATCAGGAAAGCAAAGGTTCAGAATGAATAAAGACTTGCAATAAAAATCACAGATAATAAAAAAGGTTTCTTTCAACATATCAATAACAAAAAAAAAGTCAAGGAAAAGTTGGTCCACTTAAGAGAGAAGATGGCAAGGAAGTAACAGGCAGTAGAGAGAAAGCAGAGCTGCTTAACTCATTCTTTCCATCAGTCTTCACCCAAAAAGAAATTATAGCCCAACCTACCAAAAACATAACTATAAAAACCAGACTAGAAATAAAAATTAAAATAAGCAAGAAAATGGTAAGAGAACACCTATCTAATTTTGATGAATATAAATCACTGGGACCTGACAAATTACAAACCAGAGTTCTGAAGTTGCTGATAGATATTACCTCAGAACCATTGTACCATATTTCAAAAATCCTGGAGCACCAAAGAAATACCTGAGGATTGGAAAAGGGCTGATGTGGTTCCTATCTTCAAGAAAGGAAAAAAAGCAGACTCAAGAAACTATAGACCAATCAGCCTAACATCAGTCCCTGGGAAGATCCTGGAAAAGATAATCAAAAAACAGATCTGCAAACATCTAGAAACAAATAAATAACTAGTAGTGAGAACAGGTTTGTTAAAAACAGATCATGCCAAACCAATCTTATTTCATTCTTTGATAAAGTGACTAAATTAGTAGACCAGTGAAATGCTGTGGTCATAGTATACTTAGATTTCAGTAAGGCATTTGACAAAGTATACCACAACTTGCTTCTTGATAAGCTAGAAAAATGTGGGATAGACAACATTGCCACCAGATCGATTTATAGCTGGCTGGCAACTTGTACTCAATGAATAATCTTTAATGGTACTACATCTACAAGGAGGGAAGTAAGCAGTGGAGTACCATAAGATTCTGTCTTAGGCCCAGTACTCTTCAAAATCTTCATCAATAACTTAGATGAGGGAATAGAAGGGGAGCTCATCAAATTTGCAGATGACACTAAACTGGCAGGAATAGCCAACACCCCAGAAGACAAACTCAGGATCCAAAAAGATATTGACAAACTTGAACAATGTGCCCTATCCAACAAAATGAATTTTAATGTGGAGAAAAGCAAATATTTACATTTAGGTAGGGAAAACCAAAAGCATAAGTACATATTAGGTGAAATCTGGCTCAAAAACAGTAACTGTGAGAGGGACCTTGGAGTCCTAATGGATGATCTCAGAGAATATAAGCCAGCAGTGTGAAGCAGCAGCCAAAAAAGTTAATACAATCCTGGGTTGTATAAACAGAGGCATAGAATCAAAATCACATGAAGTATTAGTACCACTTTTATAAAACCTTAGTAAGACCACACCTGGAATACTGCAACCTATTTTGATCACTACACTACAAAAAAGATGTTGAGACTTTGGAAAAAAAAGTTCAGAGAAGAGCAACTAAAATGATCAAAGGACTGGAGATCAAAATATATGAAGAACACTTGCAGGATTTGGGTCTGAGTAGTCTAGAGAAAAGAAGAGCTAGCATGATATGACAGCAGTATTCCAATATTTGAGGGACTGCCATAAAGAAGAGAGGGTCAAATTATTCTCCAGAGCACCAGAGGGCAGGACAAGAAACAATGGTTGGAAACTAATCAAGGAGAGAAACAACCTGGAATTAAGGAGAAACTTCCTAACAGTGAGAACAATTAACCAGTGGAACAATTTGCCTTCAGCAACTGTGGTGCTTCATCACTGGAGGTTTTTAAGAAGAGACTGGACAGCCACTTGTCTGAAATGTTATAGGGTCTCCTACTTGAGCAGGGGGCTGGGCTAGAAGACCTCCAAGGTCCCTTCCAGCTTCTATTCTATTCTATTCTATTCTATTCTATTCTATTCTATTCTATTCTATTCTTCTCAGCTTTTCCCCTAGCTATGGTGGGTAGAATGGAGGGTGGGATTTCTTAAAAGATAGAGGTAAAAGAGAATCCCAAGTGATGAAACATGGATCAGGGAGGTCTCCTCATCTGATTCATGTTTTATCTATTCAAGTTTAGAATCCTGATATGACTGCAGCCCCAGTGCTGCTAATATGATTTTGAGATATTATTATTCTATGTGATAATTGGTACTGGAGAATTTTAAGGTAGCTATGGATTTATTAATGGCCAATTATATTAATTAGCACACTGAAGTCAGTTTTATTTTGGTGTACAAAACTCTTGGGAGATACATAACAGATATTAGTAAACATTCAGAATAGAAACTTCTTAAACTGAAGATAGCTTTTCACTATATGCAAATTAGATCAATAATAGGAAAATGCACATTAGCAAAATCATTTCAAGTCACTGAATAAAATAAATAAATTGTAACATTTCTAAATATCTTTTTTTTTAAAAAAGTATTAAGGATTATTTTTGAAAATGTGTGTTCAATTTTTTAAAAAAATACCAAGTTGTCACACTTCATAGCTGTAATAAGTTGTTTCTCATTTTTTGTCCTGGAGGGAATGTAGTTTTTACTTAATCAGATACTGCTTCTTCAAATTGAGCTATCACTTTCCTTCTGATTATTGGAGGAGGGGATTTATTATTTCGTTCTGCTAATGTCTGATTTCTTTTGATTAAAAATATTTTACAGTGAGATTATCATGTATAATATCACCTAGTGAATATTATGACAAGATTTATGTTGTAAGTAAACTTCTATCTTTCTTCTATTTAATTGTATACCATTAAATACATGTTAAGGAATATAGTGTTTATGTATTAGTTTTAATGCTTATTGTGCTATTTTCCTTGCTAGGGTAAATGAGGAAAGTATTTCTTTCTTTCTGTCACATAAAACACACACACACACACACACAGATAATTTACAAGAGGGAAATTTCTGCCATCAAGATTTCCATGTAAAAGATATAGAAATTTATTGTTATATTTATTTGCTAGGGTTACATTGCTTTTCCTCTACAAGAATAAGGCCCCATACAGAACATATCCACCGATTCTCCAACACTGCCACAACACTGTATGCCTGGCAAGAGATTGTGCCTGGTACAAATACTCCCTGTAGTCTTCCATGGTTGAAAGTGGATTTCTAAAGGTTTTTCCTAATGTAGTCCTTTTGAATTAACAGAACTGGAAGGAGGAAAGAAAAAAAAAAGTAAGGATGGTAATTGGTTCTTGACTACAGATAAGTAGAAACTGATAGAATGTACTCTCATATTCTCATCCTAAATCTAGATATTCCATGCTCTGATCCTCTGTTTATATTCTCCATGCTTTATGTTTTATCTAATTGTGTCTCCCTCCTCTGTTTACTTGCAGTTATGTTGGCGTTATCATAAATGAAACATGGAGAATCAAACTATAGTGTGTTACTTTCTGCTCCTGGAATTCTCAAAAAATCAGCATCTGCAGCTTTTGCATTTCTTCTTCTTCTGTGTGTTATATCTGGCAACTGTAACAACAAATCTTCTCATCATCTTTGCAGTTGCTTTTGACCATCGACTGCACAGCCCCATGTACTTCTTTCTCATGAATTTGGCTCTGCAAGACCTGGGCATTGTTTCTGTCATTGTCCCCAAATCCATGATCAATTCTCTCATGAACAACAGATGTATCTCTTATGTTGGCTGTGTTGCTCAAGTCTTCCTCTTTGTTTCTTTTGCAGCTTCTGATTTCTTCCTTCTCACAGTCATGGCATATGATCGGTATGTTGCCATTTGCCATCCATTACATTATCACATAATGATGAATTGGAAAGCCAGCACTGAAATAATGCTATTTGTGTGGGTTTCAGGTTTTCTCTGTGGAATCTTGCACACAACTGGTACTTTTTCAGTTCTGTTTTGTACTAATGTGATCAACCAATTCTTTTGTGAAATTCCACAATTGCTAAAACTATCCTGCTACGGCTTCAATCAATTTGAAATTGGAATTCTCATGGCCAATATCTTAGTTGGACTAGGTTGTTTTACTTTTATTATTGTATCTTATGCCATGATTTTCAAAGCAGTGTTAATAGTCCCTTCTGAACAAGGAAGGCAGAAAGCTTTATCCACTTGTATTCCACATCTTATTGTAGTGTCTATGTTGTTATTAAGTGGATACTTTGCCTATATCAGAACTCCTTCTAACATTCCTTCTTACTTAGATTTTGGGTTGACTGTATTGTATTCGCTTCTTCCACCTCTGTTCAATCCAATCATCTATAGTATGAGAAATAAGAATATCAAATTTGTCCTTTCTAAACTCTGGAGGTTCTGAATTTTTTTTTAAATGTTGTTTCTATTCCTTTCCCCACAGTTTTTCATTTTCCTAATTTTTCCTTTACTTCTCTAAATAGAGGAATGAGTTAGAAAAGGAGACATAGTTGGGATGTATTCAAATCCAGTATTCCAATCCAAAACAATTTTAGAACTTGAGAATTTGTTCAGCAAACTTCCTGTATTCCTAATTACTATTAATGCATTTACAGATGCTGTATGTCAGGCATGTCAAACTCGTGACATCATGTGACGTCACGCGATGTATTGGAGCTTTTTCTCCATTGCCGGCAATGGGGTGGGTGCGGTTTTGGGATGATGCATCCGGCCCGCGGGCTGGCAGTTTGACACCCCTGCTATATGTGGATTTAGGACAGCTCTAGCATGCCACAGATTTGAGTTCAGATTAAGTGAGCATGAGAGTGTAATCTTATTGTGGAAAATAATGGCTAGTAAGTTTAAATGAGGTGGCCTATTTTTCCCTGTTCTTTGTTGTCATAAATGAAACATTGAGAATCAAACCACAGTGCCTTATTTTCTGCACTTAGAATTCTCAAAAAATTGGCATATGTAGTTTTTGCATTTCTTCTCCTCCTTTTTTGTGTTATATGTGGCAACTGTAGCAACAAATCTTCTCACCATCTCTGCAGTAGCTTTTGACCATCAACTGTGCAGTCCCATGTACTTCTTTCTCATGTGGCCTAGCAGACCTGGGCACTGTTTTCAGTCATTGTTCCCAAATCCATGATAAATTCTCTCATGGACAACAGATGCATTTCTTACATTGGTTGTATTGCTCTATTCTTTCTTTCTCTCCTTTGAAGGTTTTGATTTATCCCTCCTGACAGTCATGGCATACGATCCTGTTGTGAGTTTCAGGTTTTCTCTGTGGAATTTTACATACAACTTGCAGTTTTTCAGTCTTCTTTTGTTCTAATGTTGTCAACCAATTATTTTGTAAAATTCCACAATTCCTAAAACTATCTTGCTATGACTTCAATCCACTTGAGGCTGGAGTTGTGGTGGCCTCTATCTTGACTGGACTAGATTGTTTTACTTTTATTATTGTATCTTATGCCATGATTTTAAAGGCAGTATTAAGAATCCCTTCTGAACAATATTTGACCTTTTTGACATTTGCAATTCTAGTTTTTTCTGATAATTGCTTTTTTTGTTTATCTGTAATTTTTTTAACTATCACTTTAGTTTTTTCTCTATTTATCTTTAATCCTGCTATCTCTCCAAATTGTTTTATCTTTTCCAACAGTTTAGGAATCGTCTCTAAAGGTTCCTCTAGAATGAATACCAAATCATCTGCAAATGCTTGCAGTTTGTAGGTTTCACCTTTTATTTTCAATCCTTTAATTTCTGGATCTTGCCTAATGTTTCTATTTAAAACTTCCAAAGTTAAGATAAATAGCAATGGGGATAATGGACATCCTTGTCTTGTGCCTTTTCATATATCAAAATTCTCTGTGTAATCCCCATTTACAATTACTTTTGCTGATTGTTTCTGATATATTGTCTGAATCATATTTATAAAGTTTTGACCAAGGTCCATTGTTTTTAGTTGTTGAATCATAAATTGTCAAGAAACATTATCAAATGCCCTTTGGGCATCTAAAAATACTAGTGCCAGTTGTTTCCCTGGGTGAAGTTCATAATATTCCAAGGTATCTAGTATTACCCTCAAATTATTTTTTATTTGTCTCTTTGGCAAAAATCCATTTTGATCTGTGTGTATAAATTCAGTCAAAAATCTTTTCAGCCTCTCAGCTATTATTGAAGTGAAGATTTTATGTCCACATTCAGTAGTGATATCAGTCTATAGCTTTTGATCCGGGTCAGAACTGAGACCTCTTTTGGTATCAATGTAACAATAGTTTCTGTCCATGCATTTGGGAGTTTTGCCTCCAATAGAAGTTCATTACACATATTTTTCAATGGTGAACTTAATATATCTTGTAAACATTTATAAAACACTGCCGAGAGTCCATCTGGTCCTGGTGTTTTTTCATTTGTTTGTCTTTTTATTGCCTCTATCAATTCCATCATTGTTATTTTTTCATTTAACATAGTCTTAAAGTTTTCTGGAATTTTTGGTAAATTATTTTCTTCCATATATTGAGTCATTTTCTCCATGGAGTTTCTTCCTTGTCATATAGTTTCTCATAGTATTTTATTTCTTCATTTTTAAATTGTAAACAGCCTTTTTTAATCTACTAAATTGTTTATCAATTTTTTCTCCTTCTGTTTTTTAAGTTTATAAGCTAACCATCTTTCTGATTTGTTTGCATTTTCAAAAAAGTTTTGCTTTGCCCTTTTAATTTGTTGTGCCAATTTTTCTGCTTCTATTAAATTTAATTTATGTTTTATTATTTCCATTTGTCTTTTCAATATTTTCTTTTGTAGCTTTATTTTGAGTTCAAGTTCTAATTTTTTAAATTGTTCTCTTAACAACTGACATTGTTGTCTCTTTTCTTTATCTTTTTTCTTTCATCCGTGTTGCCATGACGCCCAGGGTGAACTCCAAAACAGAAAATTTTAGTGCATGTATAATTGAAGCAGCATTTGTGACACATTACTGCTGTGCAGATTTTGTCAATGTGATCACCATTGCCAATAAACACTATTGTCTTTGTTTCTATCTGCTAAGTGGAAAGTATTGATCTTGTACTTCCTAGTACATGTTCTACTCTGTCAATGGGATCATTCTTTTCTCCATTTTTCAATTATGGCTTTTATTCTTTCAACAAAGCCCAAGCTACTGAATTGCCAAAGAGAGCTAAGTCATCCTACCAACTTGTCTCTAGAGATAGTCTTATAATTGTATCTGATTGTGTATGTTTCTTAAAGGTTTTGTGGTTACTTTGTAATTGTTGCAAATGTTCTTTACTTCAGTAAAATATACTGAAATATGAAAAATGCTGAAATCTGTTTCTTGGTGTTTTTCCTAATGGGTTGTGAATGGGTTCTTCTGGGGAAGTGGTACAAACCACAAGGAGAGAAATAAATTCTGCAGTTATCAATTATCAACAATTTACTGCAAAAAATATTTCTAAATAAAATTGAGGATATGTACAGTACATTAATTTTATAATACCAGTATTTGTATAACTCTCTTTCTAAATCTTATTCACTGTGTTTCCTGTTTATGTTTGGTAATAGTTTAGTCTATTACCAATTTCTATGGATTTACCACAGTAATTATACCATTATAGATATCTTATCAGAATTTATGGGATTACATTCTATGAGACTTGTTTTAGGTACATATCTGCAGTCTTATCAGGCAGCCAAATGTACCCTACAAAAGCTTGCAATAAAACAGGGCAATAATTATATTGCTTTTTTGTACTCCTAGCACAAATATCACTAATGCTTTAATTTGCCATCTCTGCCTTAATGATGATTTACTTAGCTTAATTCTAGCTCGTTCCCCAGCTATGGAATGCAAAATAGGGGATCGGTTTTTTTTTTTAAAGCTGGAAGTGAAAGAGAATTAAAAGTGATGGTTCAGGGAGGTTTTCTCACTGGGTCTATGTTTCACCTCACAGTTTACATCTATATGAGCCCTTGTGTTATGGTTCCGGCTAATGAAACACTTCAAAGAACTTCCAGGCATTGATTTTCCTAAAAGTAATTTATTGTTACAAAATGTCGGCACAGGCACAACGAAGTTGATGCTAAGGTCTGAAATTCATTTCCTCTGAGCAGTTAAATTGTCAGCATGTTCCCTCCCTAAATTAGCTATCATATATCACGTTATCCAATTAATGTGACGGTCAGAGGTTTCCTTCCTCTTTCTTTCCCGGGTTTTTCCCCCCCCCACCCTCTTCTGCTCTGCATTAACCCTAAAAATACCAGACAATTCTGCATATTGTCAAAGCAAGAATATACAGTATTTGCAGCGTTGACACCTGGGTTTGATGAAAGAAGTCAGCATTTTATCCAGGGAAGAGATAAACTAGATATTATATATTTTTTTTGCAAATCTAAAAGTTATTGACCACATTCAAAATAGCATACTAACCCCCAAATCAAGAAACAATGCAATTTAGCAAGTTGTGTAAATAAGAAAGTAGTAATTTATGGAGTAGCCCAAGTCAGTATTATTTTTCTATATTTAATTTTTAAAAAGGTTTCAGAAGAAGAGTACTTGGCAATGTTACTTCTGTACTAGATTTCTATGCATTCACATTGATGCACATGGGCAAAAATAATTCCAGAAATAAAAAAAAATATGGATTATTCCTGGACTTCCAGTTTTGTGTCATAGCAAAACAGCCAAGGGATTGTGGAGCGCTGTACCCCATGGCTGGTTTTGTCCTGCCAGGGGACTCTAAATGGGTCCTAAGTCATCCCGGAGAAGCAACGAAGAAAGAGGGCCCTGTGTGGATCATGGAAAGATGGCGGTTGATGCATTTGATCTGGGGAAAGCCCTTTAACCCAACAGGAGAAAGGCTAGCTGCACATCAGTGACCAGTCAAAGCTACCAGCAGCCAAAGTCCAAAAGTAATAACCAGATTATTTCTTTCTTTTTGTCATCATCGCTATCCTCATTAGTCATGGGCTCTTCCCTCTTACACCTTGGTGCAATCTGCCTCCTCATCATCATTTGCTCTAGCGCTGTGTTAATTAGGGAGGGTTGTGTTTTTCCATTTGCCTGTTTGTGCCAGAGTGGGGCTGTAGTTGTTTCATCCTTCTAGTTTTCTTGCCTAATGTTTCTTGCCAGCGCAGCATCTGATAAGCTGGCAACAGCTCAATATGCTGGTTAATAGAATACAGCACTACACATAGAAATGGCAAAAGAGCAGCGAGATTATTGCACACAGCTAAATGCACACTCCACATGGGCAGGGTGAGTGGAGAGAAGCAGAGCTCCAGAATTCAAACAGCTGTCAATAAGCCCGACGGAAATAGAAATGGGGCAATTGATCACGGGAGGACAGGAGCTGAATAGACCCATAACACGCTTGTTAGCTAAACGGTTGGCTCTAC